CCTGTCACTCCACGTGGGGGTCTCCTTGGGATCAAGGACCCAGTTGGAGGGCAGCTCCAAAGGCCAGGAGTGGTCTCTCACCACATCCTCAGGCCTCACGCAGGGTCCAAGTCTTAGCCCTCTGGGCCTTAGCCTTGGGCCACCTGTCAACAAGCCCAGGCTCCCCATGATGTGGTGAGCAGCCCAGTCAGCAAAGAGATCACTCACTGACCCCCCGACTGCCCACCCACTCGTTCCCACAGGCATCTGCTCCCTCCCTCACTCACCCACTCACCCACCCACTCACTTACCACCCACTTACCCACTCACTCACCCACTCACTCATTCATTCACTTACCCACTCACTCACTCACCCACTCACTCATTCATTCACTTACCTACTCACTCACCCACTCACTCACTCACTCACCCACCCACTCACTCACCCACCCACTCATTCATTCATTCCTCACTCATTCATTCACTCACTCATTCATTCATTCCTCACTCATTCACTTACTCATTCATTCACTCACTCACTCATTCATTCATTCACTCACCCACCCACTTACTCACTCACCCACCCACTTACCCACCCACTCATTCATTCATTCCTCACTCATTCATTCACTCACCCACTTACTCACTCACCCACCCACTTACTCACCCACCCACTCATTCATTCATTCCTCACTCACTCATTCATTTACTCATTCATTCATTCACTCACTCATTCATTCATTCACTCACCCACTCATTCATTCATTCCTCACTCACTCATTGACTTATTCATTCAGTTACTCATTCATTCATTCACTCACCCACTCATTCATTCACTCACCCACTCATTCATTCACTCACCCACTCATTCATTCATTCCTTACTCATTCCTCACTCACTCACTCATTCACTCATGCACTCATTCATTCACTCACTCATTCACTCACTCTCTCTCGTCCCCTCTTTTCACACTTATTGGGCACACTTATTGGCACATTGCAAAGAGCCAATGAAAGTGACTTTGCAAATGAATGACTGGATTTTTCCACCAGGTTTGCTCACATCAGCGCTGTCATCACAGAGGTGGAAATGGGGTCATGCACAGTTGACCAAGGAAACAGCCTGGAAAGATCCCTCAGAGAGGCAGCGTCCCTGTGCACCCCTGGGCTTGGACGCTCCAGGGGCCAAGGAGTCTTAAAGCTGAGGTAGAGCAACGCACAGCTGGGTGCAGGCTGGGACGAGGTGACATGGGTGGAGGGGGCCCTCCATGAGGCTCTGCCCTGACCTCATGCCAACTTTCCCACGAGGATGGCTTTCCCTGCAGTGACTAATCAAGCACAGGGGACATGCTATGCGTATTCCGACTCTTTCTCTGGCCACTGATTTTCCTCCACACTCAAGTTTCACAGCCGTCCTGGCCCTTGTGTTCTCCTGCCTTCCTGTGACACGTGCACTCAGCCACCACTTCCCGCTGTGTGCTTCCCGGGTGATGCTCTGACCAACGGGTACCTGGCTGCCTCCACCCAGACGGGAGCAGGCCCTCTGTATACCACTAACTCCACCGGCCACCCATGGACAGTCCCACCCTCGGCCATGTTCCTAGCTGCATAAGAGCCCACTTTGTAACCACGAAAGCAACCACAAGGACAGTCTCGTTGGAGGCTGCGAGCCAGGGGACAGAGTACCTGGACGGCTGTAGTGCTGGGGCGACCGTGAGGTCGGGGTGTAGCGCCCAAGGCTGACAGAGCCGGTGGAGCTGGGGCTGGAGGTCCGGCACTGCTTGTAGGACCGGTCATCTTGGTCCCCCTGGGAGGGAAGACACAGCTCGTGAATCCCTGAGGTGAGAGCACACCCCCCTCACCCCCCCTCACCCACCCCCTCAGCATTCGTCCCCCTGGCCCCAGGGGCTGACTCAACATGCCCCCAACATGAAATCCCCCTGCTAGGCCCCGTCTGAAGGGCTGGGTTCAGCCTGGCCATGACGCTGACAGGCCCCTTGGCCTAAGCATGGCCCCTGTCCCATCAGGCACCGCGGCCTCCCCTCTCTAGGTGCCTCCTGTGAACTGAGGCTCCAGGGGGTGGCGGGCCCCCAGCTGCCCCTGCACCCTCCACTCCCCCAGCCCTCCCAGCACCTGGGCTCCTTGAAACAGAGCTCGAGAGCATCAAGAGCCTCTAGTGCCAAAGGGACAGGAAGAGCCCCTGTGGGCCCAGGCCCAGCCGGGGGGACCACGGGTACTGATGACTGGCCCTGTCCAAGCAGGAGGACTGCTGGGAGTGGTCAGTGGGCAGTGGAGGCATGGGATGGCACGGCCCCGTGGCGGGGGAGCAGCCTGCCCTAACCCCTGCAGCGTGGCCCCGTGGCCTGGATCATGCCAGCCCACCCAGAACCCTGACGAGGGCTGACCGCTGTTCCACCCCTCGCAGCACCACCAGGATGAGCGGGGGCTGGTCTGGCGCTCATGGCTGCCCGGCCACATTCCTGCCTGCACACCCCGTCCCTCTCACGGGCTCCCTCTCCTGCCCGGCTGGAGCCCCTGCCACCTCTGACATCCTCTGCCAGAGCCCCTGCCACCTCTGGCATCCTCTGCCAGGCCAGCCACCAGTTGTGCACCTCAGGCTGTCCTGTCTCCTGGCCACTGCTGGTTGGGGAGCTTAGTGTGAGCTGGCCTCTGGTCTGCCAGGTCGCTGCAAACCTGGACCCAGGGGTTTGAGGTCTGATGCCCACCTGCAGCCCATTCCGAGGCCAGGTGACCTGTCTAGCCATCTGCAGCAGCAGGGTGACATGGCTGCCCCTTGCCCCCAGTGCTGTTTCTAAGGGCAGACTAAGGAGCCAGGTGAAGGGACTGGACAGGGACTAGACAGAAGATTCTGGCTCCCCAGAACTACAAGGAAGGAGGGGAAGGACTGGGTCCAGCGAGATAAGGAGACTCCGTCTCCTGGGAACCCGCTGAGGATGAGCGGGCAGGAGGAAGGTGGTCCCAGTGAGGGCGCCCAAGGCCCCAGGGCCAGAGTGACCACCAGAAGCCCGTGGGCTGTGTAGCCTCCCATTGACCAAATGTGTGCTTGTGTCTGCAGGCACCTTCTGGGGGGCTTTGCCACGAGGCTGGGCTCGTTCTAGAGCGTGCTGTCCAGCGGGCCTTGAGCTCCTCATGGGAGGAGCCGACGTCCCCCTCGGGGTTTCCCTGTGTGGGTAACGAGGTAGTGCAAGGATGGCCAGCTGGGCCTGCCGGAGGTCACCCGTCAGAGGTCACCGTGCTTTAGTGACTTATGGAGCATGCGTGATGACAGTGGCTGGTGGACAGCTCCTAGGGGCCAGTGAGGAGATGAGGCCTGGAGCCCAGGGGACGGCACATGCTCTGCACCGCCAGCTCTTGCTGTCCCTTGCTCACGGGTCCTGTGATACCCCACCTGCCCCTCCCTGCACCACAGTGCAAGCTGCAGCCTGGTGGGCTACAGTCCACCTCACTGACCAATTTCTGAGAAACAGGAATGTCCCAGACGGCTAAGGAGAAAGGTTTTTGCTACAGAGATGTTTCCAGAGTGCTCCCTGCAGGGCCAGAAGATCCCGTGCATCCTGCTTGGGCATGAAGTGAACCTGAACTAACCCAGGGAGCCATGACCCAGACCACAACCCGCTCAGGTGCTGCCGTGTCCAGGCGTCCATGAGGGCGGGGCTGGCAGGCACAGGAAAGCATGCAGACGAGGCGTGATTATAAAAATAACCAACACTAAGTCAGGTGCCGAGCTCTGGGGGCTGAGGCCCAGGCTCTGCGGCCAGGAGCCCCGAGGCCCTCCCAGGGCGCCATGGCTGGTTATCTTTATAACAGATGGGCAGCAGCACCATAGCAAACAGGGCACAGGCAGGAGGGTGGTTACCTCAGTCGGCGTTGGCGAGAGCAACTGAGGAGACTGTGGACACAACAGAGTGACCTGTCAGCACTGTGACACTAGGCACTACTTTGGGGGTGAAGGGGTGGTTTGGGGACCGGCAGGCAACACTGGGTCAAGGTGCACCTGGTAGACGGACGTGAGCCTCCACACGGGAATGAACCCACCCCAGGAGACGCAGAACGGACCGCAGGACTCTTTTGGAGAAATGTGGTCCAGGGCACCTAGAGAAAGGGGCTCCCAGGCTTGGAGCCTGGCTTGGCCACTCGCCATGCCCCACCGCTCTCGAGACACACGTCTTCCATAACGGAAGACTGCAGGCTCAGGACACCCGCCACACTCTGTGTGCACATCACCAGGTTTTCTCTGGAAGGAGGGGAAGGGGGCCAGGGGAAAGAGAGTGACAGGAACCTAGGGCCGGGGCACGGGCAGGGGGTACAGGTTGGACGCCCCTGCCTCACCCTTCCTGGGGTCTCTCAGTAACAGTGAGGCTTGTCACCACACTCTCAGGCTCTCGTGGTCAGCAGGGGCACCTGCTATCCCTGAGTCATCTCTCTCCTGTTTGGCCCTCAAAGCCCCGCAGCTGTGACCTGAGCAGGTGCCTGGTCACACCAGGCCCAGGTTGGACTTCCCTGTACCCACCTGCTGTGCACGGTGCCCTGGGGCTCAGCCCTCATTTTCCTCATTTTGAGAAGTCACAGAATGAGGAGGACCAAAGGAATCATGCTTGAAAGGACCTGGTGTCCCTGCCCTGTGAGCACCTGTGCCTGGCTACACGCGGGCTACACGCTCAGGCCCGCGGCCCCGCACCTCGGCCACAGGGACACCGAGATCTCAGAGTCACAGAAGGAGCAGTGAGAACCTCCAGTGAATCCAGGTCAGATGGAGAAGGGCGGCCTCATTTAGAAGTCACCAAGTAACAGAGGATGCTCCAGCAACACTGCGAAGTAATTCCTGGTCACCAGGGGGTGGAACTGGCTCGGGAGTCACCAAGGAGAGTGGGAGCTTGCTGGCTGGTGGGGCTGGGTGCAGCCAGGGAGTCCTGGCCAGGAAAACTGCATTTCCTGCTTCATGACAATACTCCAGCACTCAGGAGGAGCCAGAGACTCTCAACCAGGTTCTATCCCTTCCCAAGGGCAGCCTGTTCTGCTGCCTGCTGCCTGCTGCCTGCTCCCGCTCCTGCTCCCGCTCCCGCTCCCGCTCCCGCTCCCGCTCCCACTCCCGCTCCTGCTCCTTTAACGAGGCTCTTGCAGGCCCTTCAGTGAGGGGTGCTTAGAGCCAGCGCGCTGAGCACTAGTGAGTGTGGTGTGGCAGGTCACCCGAGGGCATGGGGAGCCCGCAGAGCGGAGGACACTGGCTGGATCCCATCAGAATGCCCCTGTGAGGGAGGCTCCTGCCCACGGACCACGCTGAGGCCGTACCTCGCTGCAGCTCTGCCTGTCGCCCGCGCAGTGGCTGACGTAGGGCGAGTAGGAGATCATGTCTGGGCGGTCGATGTTGTAGATGGCCTTGCTTTTGGGAAGCGCGGCCAAGTCCCTGTAGTCAAGGATCTCGTCTCCAAGCTTCGCCTGAGGGAGGACAGAGCAGAGGCAGGAAGTGACCCGTGTCCCAGGTCCCAGGTGGCAGCTGCCCCAAGCCCAGAGCCGGGACACTGCCCAGGGGCAGGGGACTCAGCTGGGACAGCCTGCCCCGTGCCAGCCTCCAGAGGGCCCTGCGGTCCTGAGCACGCTCTCTCCAACTGCATCAACAAAGGGGCTCCCAGGCGGAGAGGTCGAGACCCATGAGTCCGGCACAGGCCTGCCAGACGGTGAGATGCAGGACAGGCACACGCATGTGCTCACACACACACACACGCATGTGCTCACACTCACATATGCACACAGGAGCCAGTGCATGTCTATGCTCACGGAGGACGCACAGTCTGACTGCAGAGGGACACGTCCCTACACGGCACCTCTCCCACATGGTAGTGCACACTCATGCACACCCACAATCAGGCACCCACAAGCCCACACACTCAGTCCTGCACTCACAGCACATACCTGAATATTGGCACACGTACTTGCACACACGGACCCCCTAGAAACTTGCATGCACACACACGATCACCCCCACACCCACCTGTACCTGTCTGTACACAGACACACACGCACACACACTGGTGCACGCACCTTGGCACGCGTGAGCCCGGGCATCTGATGGGTGGGCCCTGGCCCCCACACACCTGCCCACAGAAGGTGCTCACCGGGGCTTGCCAACCCAGCCTGTGGTGCCGCAGGGCTGCTCTCAGGGTACCCGCCTGGCCGCCTGCCACCTGGTCCACTCTGCCCACCTGCCCCCACTCTGCCCTGTGCTGGCACACTAGCTCCAACGCCCGCCCGCCCACTGCCTGGCCCTGGGTGGTCCTTGGGCTGCCCGGGGCACTTTCCAGCCACAGGTGCTCTGATGTGGACACTGCTGGCCCCCAGCAGCCTGCTCAACACCTCTCCTGCAGGGTCTGCAAGAAGACACCCTCAGTAGCAGCAGCAGGTGACACACAGGCTGGACCTGAGACAACTACCACCTTTTACTGTGAACTCACAAAATATCACAGCAGGTCTGTGACAGGAACTCTCACAGTAACTCCTCATGGCAGATGAGGAGCCCAGAGAGGTTGGACAACTTGTTCAGAGTCACGCAGCAGGGGCAGCATGGTGCTGTCTGACCCGAGGGTCTATGCTTTTTGTTGTTGTGCTCCCCTGTCCTGTCCTGCCGCAGGGGAGTCTCCCTAGCTCACCCCATACTCCTGCAGCTCAAACCCAGGCAGCCCTTCCTCAGGGACACTGTGAGTCCCACAGGAGCCCCTGAACGAGGACTTCCTGCCCCCAGCCTGCTTGCCCGCAGCCTCTCCCCACGCCCACGGTGTGCTGTGGCCAGACCCCCCCTGCGCCATCTCCAGAGCCAGCAGCACTGGCTGGCCTCCCGCAGCAAGCCCACCCTGACGACAGGCGGACCCAGGCTCTGCCAGGACTCCGGGCCTTTGGGCCAACCAGCTCTTTGCATGGCCCAGGGCGAGAAGAAAGCCTGATGTCTCCACTCTGGCTGCTCCTCCTGGAGCCCAGGACAGGGCGAGAGACCCCAGGTCCAACCCCGAGCCGTCCACGGGCGGTCATGGTGGTCAGCCTGCCGGCATTTTCCAGGCGTCCCTCACCTTTGGGGGCAGTAGGGAGCCAGAGCCCAGGACCCGGGGTGTGGCCCTCCTGCCTGCTCAGCATGGCCCCCTGCTCCCCGCTCACACCGCCACCCTGACCCCTGCAGTTCCCATCACTAGTCCATTCCTCACTGGGGACTTGCTCTTGCTGACCCCTTCCCCTGCCTGGCCTCCCGCCTCTCAGGCTCCAGAGGGCCTCCTCGGGGCCCTTCCCATCCGGAGCTGTTTTATTTTCTTCCTGTCGGGAAGGGACTGGTCTCCGTCTGTGACCCAGACAACACTAGAGGGTCCCCGGACCCCACTTAATCCCTCATTGAGCCCCTGCCCCTAACTCCAAGCTTGTCATGGCCCTGTGCTCAGGGCAGCCTGGACTTAAAGTCACTGCAGCGTTTGCCAAAGTCGGCAGAGCTCTGGGGTCTCCTGTAGAGGGGACGCCCGCTGGGTTGGTGCGTCACTGGACCGCAGTGAGCCTCAGCGGTCACGGCTCCAGTAAGATGCCTCAGACCTGAGTTTCTCAGGTCACTAAGAGGCCATGCCCCCCACATTCACCTCCCTCAGTCACCCGTCCTCTGGGCTTCCCCTGAGTAGCCACAGGGCCTGGGAGGCACCTGGCCCCAGGCTAGTCCCCTCCGTCCTCAGGCCTCCTGTCCCTGCTGCAGCCTGAGTGGCCATGGAATGAGCTCACCCTCCTGGGGCCAGGCGTGTGTCCTGCACCCAGCCAGGGCGGGCACCCCCAGGGCTGGTGGGCTGCTGGATGTGGATGGCCCAAGGCCGCCCGTCCACAAACACAGACAGCCATGGGGTGGCCCTGTAGCCCCACGGCCTCCTGTGCCCAGGCTCCCAGGCTTGCTCCTCCCTGGGAAGGCCACTGGGCGGGTGGACAGTGCTTTTCTCAGCTTTCTTCTCCCCTATACTCCATCTAGCCAAGAAGCCACGCCATGACCCTGCGTGACCCCACCGTCACCACGAGCTCCTGCCACCGCAGCACAGGCCACTTGGTGCTGGAAGAGGGCACACACTGTTTGTGTGACTCCAGTGTTGACAAATCACACCAGAGAGAAGAGGCCCTCGGGGAGTGTGCACAGCCTCGCCCTGCGTTCCCGAGGGGCGGCCACGGCACGCACTCCCGCCTCGTGCTGACCCCAGACATGAGTGGTGGGTGGATGTGCATTACTTGTGTAATAGAGGAGGCAGTGGACAGATCATCGTGAGAGTCCCCGCCTGCTGCCCCAAGTGCAGGTCTACAGGAGACGGCATAGCACCCCAGGAATTCTGCCACGTGGACATGATGGGGGACCGTCTCCGCCTGCCTGGGGCGATCAGAGGAGACAGCGTTTGATGACCAGCATCCTGGCTGGCAGGAGCTGGCACTGGTGTCCTGTGCTGCAGCCTGAGTGGCCATGGAATGAGCTCACCCTCCTGGGACCAGGCGTGTGTCCTGCACCCAGCCAGGGCGGGCACCCCCAGCAGGGATGGAAAGACAAGCCAGGCCCCACTCGGAGCCAAGAGGGCTTGTTCCAGCCGGCCATGTCCCAGGAAGGAGTTCAAGCACAGGGATGGCCCACTGCCTGATCTGGGAGACAGACTGGGGCGTTCCGGCCTGTGGGCCTCCTGGGCTCTGGGAGCTCCTGGGCAGTGGTGTCCTTGCTCAGATGCTGTGTGAGAGGCCAGGCACCTGTGAGTCTGCAGCTCTCTGAGCCACCCCCCGGTACAGGCCAGGCGCCCACCTAGTCACTGGGCTCTGAGGCTGAGAGAAGGCTGCGGGGCAGGGCGTCCTGGGGCCTGGCTGCCCACTGTTCACAGCCAGTGCTTGCTCATGGTGTCAACCTAAGAACCGGTAGTTTAGATCTGGGGTGCTGGATACCATCGCATCTTTCACTGAAGCAGGCGCAGGAGGCTCCGCCGAGCTCAGACACAGCGTGGACACTCCTCTGGCTGGGAAGTCCTCACCCACCAGAGTCCTGCACCTTTCCTTGGCCCCCATCCCACCTGAAGCCAAGTGCTCAGTGGACTAGAAGTCCCTGGAGGACACGGTCACAGCCTAGCCCCATCCCAGCCGGGTTCCCTGGGCCGGGGGGTCTTGGAGCTTGGCCGTGCTAGCGACTACCTGGGAGAGAAGAAAGGACCGCGATGGTGGTTTTAGCTCAGAGCAGCAGAGTCCCTGGAGACAGCCCAGACATCGGATCAGGGAGCCTGGGTCTGAAGCCCAGCCCTGTGTGGCCTTGAAAGCGGTGCTGGGACATTGGAGGCTACTGTCACCACTCGCTGCCTGGTTATGTGGTCACTACATGATCCAAGCCCCTTGCCAGGGCCGTTACTCAAGCACACATTTAGGGAGCAGATGCTATGCGCCAGGCCCCTGGTACCATCTGGGGAGCACCTTCCACGGGCCAGGCCCTGCGAGGCACTTTGCAAACATCGTCCAACGTACATCCTCAGTCCTGACGAGTAGCATCACTCATGACGATGACGGTGGCACTGAGGGCTGAATCCCTGTGGTGCAGTCCCAGCTCCCAGGACTCTGAATGCCACTGTTTGGGGACAGGGCCTTACAGTGGTACTTAAGGTGGATGAGGTCTGCACGGTGGCCCTAATCCAGTAGGCCTGGTGTCCTTGTTAGCAGAGGCCATGAGGACACAGACAGGCACAGGGTGACCCCGTGGGGGGGAGAAGGCACTGTCCACCAGCCCGGGAAAAGGGCCTCAGGAGGAACGAGGCCTGCCCGCACTTTGGGCTCCAGCCTCCAGAGCTGTGAGATATTCCGCCTCCTCGTCCAAACACTCGGTCCCAGTTCCTTGTCATGGCCGTGGAGCAAGCTGGCGGAGACTCCTAACAACGCCGGCAGTGAGCAGTCCCTACGTCCTCCTTCTGGGCCAGGATCTACCTCAGTGAGCCCTGGACAGTGGGGGCAGAGTCTCCTCATCCTACAGATGACCGCCAGAGGCTCAGAGAGGAGATTGTTTCACCTAAGGTCACACAGCAGGTTTGATGACCTCACACTCTCAGAGGAGATGTCCCCAAAGGACCATGGTGTCATCACCCTTCAGGCCAGTGACAGGCCATAGTTACCCAAGGGAAAGAGTGTTCGTTATCATCACCCTTAAGAATTATAGCAGGAGAAAATCTGTGTCCCACCACTGCAGAGAGGAAGGGTGGGGAGAATGCAGAGAAGAGCCAACCGGACCCTCCACGCTGCAGGGACCTAGTCCTGGCCTGGCCGGCAGGGGCACTGCAGAAGTGACTCATCCCATGTCACCTGCCATTCTGGGTAAGGGCAGCATAAGGGGCTGGACTCCTTCCCCTGATAAGCCATCCCCCGTGTGGCACCTTGGGGCTCTCCCAGGGACAAGTTTTGCTGCGTGACAAGTGGTGTCAACCTCTCGCTCACAGGTTTCACTTTTGCCCCTCCCCACGTGCCGCCTGGCACACCCCGACGCCATCCATGGGGCTGGTTTACACCACTGTAGGTGACATCCCTCTGCCTTCTGGTCACCAGAGAGCTGAGGTCTGATCCGGGGGACTCGACCCCAGGAGATCTGCATGAGTGAGTGCCCAGGAGAGGAGCCAGAACACGGCCTCCCCGCCACCCCAGGGCGACCGCACCCAGGCCCCACTTACGTAGATGACGCGGCTGGGAGACCCTGAGGTGCTGGAGGCGGGCACGGAGACGATGCTCTCCGAGGAAGTCCTGGTGTCCTGGGGAGAGAGCGGTGGAGGCTGAGCAGGGTCCCAGCTGGACTTGGGCGGCCACCACTCTGCAGCAGCGCCGCCCACCAGGATTCTAGTTTCTGCCTCCCCTGGCCAGAGGGTCCTCACCAACACACAGGCTTGGACGAGCGACGGGAGGGCCACGGCCAGACAACACGGCAGGCCACACGGGGACAGGCAAAGCGGCCCACGGCCTGGTGGCTGGCAGCGCTCGGGGGCTACCCTGCACAGAGCCTCCCCCGTGGAGAGGGCGAGCTGTGCCCTACCCTCTGCCCATGCCAGGGCGTCCTCTTTCACCACTATCCACTGTGTAGAGAGGTCGTCCCGCCTGGGCAGGGTGGGCGTGTGGCCTCTCAAGACGCCTCCTGATGTATTGGCAGCCTCCATCATTGGCAGTGCTCTCTAGCTGACCCCGTACCCCTGGCCACCACCAGGGACAGCTGCTCCTAACCCTCAGGGTTAAGCACCTTGCCACCAAGCCCTCGGTGCCTGGGCTCCAACTGCTGGGTGCCTGAGACCTGCGCCACCTCCCCTAGTGGCACTGGGCCCCTCCTCCCACCCGCTGCTGCCCGCTGCTGTCTACTTCCTCCTATGCCCCTCTGGCTGTAGCTGGCATCTGTCCCACCCCCGGGCCACCTCCCGCCTGGCTTCCCCCGCCTCCTCCTCACCCCACCTGGTAGGAACTCATCTCCCACCAGGGTCTCCCCCTCGGAGCCAGGAGCCTGGGCTCCTTCTCCCTGCAGCTGGGTCCTGCGCTGAGGCTCCGGGGGGCCTGCTGCTCTTCCTGCATCCTGGTACTAACGGGTCTGTTCCTGACCCGCCCTGATGGTCTGTCCAGTCCTGTCCCATCTGCCCACAGTGCCCTGTGTTAGGGACTGAATTGGGTCCCCCAAGTCTCCATGCTGAGGCTCTAGCCCCGAAGGCCTCTGAGGGTGGCTATGTGGAGACGGTCTTTCAGAGGGACTTCAGGTGAGGGTCACAGGGTGGCCCTCATCCAGTCTGCCTGGCGTCCTCAGGAGAAGAGGAGATCACGACACAGATGCACACAGAGGAAGACATGTGAGGACACGGGGGTGCTGACCACTGCCCAGGAGAGAGGAGCCCGTCCCACCCGGCCCTGACCTCGGACGCAGCCTCAGAGCTGCAGGTCGGGGGCCCCCCGTGGTCCAGCGCCCAGCGCAGGGCCCTAATAGGGAGCCCTGGGAGTGCGCAGGGCGAGCCCCAGACCCCAGCACAGCTCCTGCACTCAGCACGACACCAGCAAGGACAGGTGGACACCAGGACCGGGCACAGCCACACACGGCAGCGCAGGCACAAACCTGCAGGGCATGAGGCGTGGTGCCCGGGCGGGCCTGGCTGCAGATAGGGCTCTGCATCTAGAGGGAGAGAGGAAGGAGGGCAGGCATGAGGCTCAGGCGCAGCGCCCACCGCGTGCCCTCGGCGTGCTCCTCAGCCACCTGTGAGGACCATGCTGGGCCTTCCTGGAGCCCTGCCCTCTCCTGCTGCACACCAGGGACTCAGGGCCTGCCTGACCCTCAGACCACAGGCTTCAGAGCTCAGGTGGCCCAAGCCCTCGGCCACTCCAGCACCTCAAAAGACCCCTCTGCTGCTCACAGGGCAGGCGGCCCCATTTCCAGACCATAACTCAGGCTGCTCTTCCCGCGGCCCCTGTGGTGGGGCTGCGTCCCGTACTGGCCCCAAATGTCTGCACCAATTTCCTGCTTGGGCAACACCTTGAGTCAGCTTCTCTACAGAACGGAGACCCCAGCAGGGGCTTCCCATCTCTGAGGCTAGCTCCTGTGAGTCCTGAGTTGAGGTGCAGCTGGACCTCACTGCTCCCCGCAGGCTGGCTCAAGAGGAGGCCCCAACAGGAGCTCTCCCTTGACCACAGACTGGCACAAGGTAGGACATCCCTGCCCCGCTCACCAAGCCCTGCAGGACCAGGTGCGGACATCACTCCCGCCTGAGCATGGGTCGCGGCATGTGGCCCCTCTCTGCACCCAGCTCCCTACTCTGCACAGTGGGCAGAGGGCAGCGGGCAGGTCCTGCTTCACGGTCAGCCAGGGCACTTAGGTGTGGAGTGAGGCTACTGTCCCCAGCGTGAGAAGGCAGAGCCATTCTGATTTCCCCTCCCCACTCCCATCTGCCGTGTGGAACTTCACAGTGAGATTCAGCATCGTGCCTTCTCCAGGGCCAAGTGACAGCGCCTCGTTCGGACCCAGAGAGGTGGACGGGTTGGAGCTCACCCGCTCCAAGACCTGGGAATGCAGCCGTCCCACGGCTGTGACTGGAGAGTCTCCGTAAGGACACGCAGGAGTCTCACTGACTCTGACCCCACGACCAGGCGGGGCCGAGGCGCAGGGCGAGCTCACTGTGGAAGAGGCTGCGTCTCGGCACCCGGGCTTCCTCCGCGGCTCTTGCTGACTTGCTTTCTGGGGGACCTTCTTGCTCAAGCCCATCTGCCTTGCTCAGTGGCCCCCAGTCTCTGACCACCTCTCAGGCTTCCACTCACAGTCAGCAACTCAGAGTCCACACCAGGGACACTGCTTGGATTTCCAGAGGAGAAGAAGAGGTGCCACACTGCGGTCACGAGCAGTGGGGCCAGCCTGGCTGGCCAGGTCCTCTTCTGAAGTCACCAGCCCTGACCAGAGCTGGAGCTGTCTAGGCAGAGCATCCCTGTGGCTCACTCTGACGGGCCACTCAGCTCCAGCTTCTACGTGAGCTCAGAAGCCGGGCCCTGCCATGGCCCCTCGCCTTCCTCCGTCCCTGCATGGCACCTGCTGCTCTGACTCAGGACCCAGAGCCCAGGACTGGCTGAGCATGGAGGCTCAGCCCCAGGAGGCCAGCTCTGTCTCCTGCCCAGCTGGGTTGGGCTCTTCTGTACCACACAGCAGCCGGTCTCACGTGGTCCCCTCACTGGACATGGGGCCCCCAAAGACAGGGAGCCCATGCGTCTTAGCATTCCTGGGCTCCAGGCAACCAATTCCAAAACCCACGCAGAGGATACTTGGGGCTAGGTGTTGATGATCACAAGACCAAATGCCCAGGGAGACCCCGGGACAGAGTCACAGGACCAGCCCACACACATCTCCCCTCTTCTCAGGGCCCCAGCCTCATGGTGGTGAGGGGCAGCCAGGCAATCAGGTCCTTGAAGGGCCCAGGTTCAGGCCTATTTCCTGGACAGGGTGGATCCAGGGCCTCTGGGGGTCCTGGGACCATATAGACTGGTGGCAGGGGCACTGTTACAGAGACAGCTAAGTCACTCAACCCCCCGACAGGCGGGTACTCCTCATCTGGCTTCCTGGTAACACGGGAGCCAGTCCACCTCAGTGGCTCGTGATGCAGATGCCCTCCTCGGGCTGTGGCCCAGCCACCACGGGAGGTGAGTGGCAGAGGACGGCTCTCCTGCCCTAGGCCAGGCAGCCATTGTGCCCAGGAGAACTGGCCTGGCCCTGGCACCACACCAAGGGAAGCTCTGCTGGGTGCCCACTCACCCTACAGCTGGCTGCAGGCAGCAGCCTCCTCCACGAAACAACTGGCCAGAAGCTCTTCAAACAGGGCCAGGAAGCCAACCCACCTGCCCAGGCCGGGAGGACAAGGACCCCTTGGGCAGCGTCCATCCCTTCAGGGGGCCTCCCCCTGGCTGGCCGGGGCTCAGAGGTCAGCATAGCTGCCCTTAATGCTGAGGCTGCTACTGCTGCCAGCCCCCACCCACTTGTAGGAGCACGGCTGGGGCCTCCACCAGGTCCATTCACCTGGCCCTGGCAGGGGTCCCACACACAAGTGGTCAGCACCCTGTGGCCAGGTCAGGGATGCCCAAGAAGGCTCAGGTGATGACTGATGAATGAGCCACTGAGAGGACGATGGGGTCTCTGTGGGGAGTGCCCACTGCCTCCAGGCTACGGAGGCCCAGCGGGGTCTGACACCACACCCCAGGAGGCAGAGGATCAGGACCCATCCGCAGAGCTCCTCCCAGAGGACAGCTACCGAGGAGGGACCCGGGACCCCAGGGAGCTGCCCCACCTGCGCCTCCTCCCAAGGCCTCTGTCCATCTGTCCAACCTGACTCCTCACGGCCACTGCTGATCTTGCTCTTGGTGGCCCGCTGGACATCCCACAGGCTTCTCTCTGAGAGGCCTGGTCTGGACCCCGTCCCTGGTCCATGGCATGCCCTGAACACCAGCTTCCTGCCCACAGGGGTGGTGGCTAGTTCCTGTGTCCCAACCACGTGCTGCGGTGGGTCACAATGGCTCCGCCCCCTCAAGGTTCCCTGGCAAAAGGGCTCAGGAGTGATGGGTGGTGGACTGGACGAGGCCTCAGAGACAGCCCTGACGGGCAGAAGCGGGGACCCAGGGAGGCTGTGCTCCTGAGGCTGCACCAACACGTGGCCTGAGCTGTGGGCCACACGCCCCTGGCCAGACAGGCTGGGCCCTTGGGGCACCTGGCTGGCCCTCCTCCCTGCCTCCGGGGGCCTTTGCCCACTCTCTGGTTCCGTGCTTAGTCAGCAGGTCCTCACTGGGGCTTGGCCACATCCAGGACAGGGAAAGGGCCTACTCTGGGCCCAGGGGAATGGAGCGGGCAGAGCCCACGTGTGTGTGGAGTGGGGGCTGGTGACGAGGACGTGGGGTCAGCAGAGTCTTTGGTGAGTGACTCCCAAGGTGGCCTTTCAAGCCCAAAGTAGGAGTTGACTGGGCTGCAAGGGGCGGAGAGGACCCTCCGTCAGGGGAAAGCATCTGCAAAGGTGCAGAGGCAGAAAGGGCAGGGTGCAGGAAGGGCCACGGCGTAGCAGCCTGGTTGGGGCGTGCAGAGCTCCTCCTCCTCGAGGCACCACCAGCCTCTGGGCAGTGCCTTGAACTGCCTGGCCCAGGCGTGCCTCGGGTCTTAACTGCTCGCCCAGGGGCTCCTGTTCCAGTGCTCAGCCTGAGCCGTTTGGCCTGGAGGCCTCCCGGGCAGCTGTCCAGAGGGCTCCCCTGTGGTCGTTGCTCGTGACCTCTGTGGTTTCCCCAGTGCTGGGCCACACCAGCCCTTGTCTGCCCTCTGCAGGGTGCCCATCCTGCCCTCCCAGCTGCCTCAGCTCCAGCAGGGCGAGGTCCCACCCGCTCCAAGCTGCACCCCGTGCCTGGCGCACAGTCGGCACTGTACAGGTGAGAATCTGGCCCTGCCCAGAGAGACCCTTAGCCTGTGCCCTTGGTTTCTGAAGGTCATCTTTGCCCTCCCTGATAGGAGCACCTTTGTTCATGGAGAGACTGACCGTGCCTGACTGGCTTAGGGTGGGGGGTGGCCACGGCAGAAAGACCAGCCACGTGACTGGGGTGTGGTGGGAGCCAGGGTCCCGTGACATCAGCTGACCTGGCACATGGGCCATGAATCAACCCATCACACCTGTGTCACAGCCCCAGGAAAGTCTTGGGGGGTCCAGCATGGTGCGGGGGGGTGGGGGGAGGCGTCCTGACTTGGTGGGGAGAGGGCCAGTGGGGGCTCAGTGCCAGAAGCCCCCGGGACTCTGCTGGTGTGTCTCCCTCTTTGGCTGGTTTCACTCCTGTCCTTCCCTGTGCTGGGTGGTGACCAGGAGCAGCCCAGCTCTTGGTGAGGGCTGGGAGCCCTTCCACTAAACCATCAGACTTGGGGGCAGCCCTACGTTTGCAGTTGGTGTCAGGGTCAAGGGTGACCTTGGGGACCCCCACTGTGCTGCCATCCCCCGACTTTCATGGATGAGTGAGGAGGTCAGCAGGGCCGGTACAAAGACCCCTCGAGGCCCTTGCCGGACCTGCATGAAGGCTCTCCCGGGACACCTGCTCACCCCTCCCGCCCTTGGCCCCTTTTAGGCCTGGCTGCCCCCCCTGAGGCCTGGGGCACTGGCCAATGCGTCGGCAGGAACGGAGACCGTGCCCCGATGGGGGTGGCATCAGAGACGGGGACCCACCAACCTTGCTCTTGTCTTCAGTTCTGGCTGCCTGCCGACACGCCGGGTGCCAGATGGAGGAACCTGCCGGCAAATTCCCAGGAGCAAGCGGTTAGAGGGGGGCCGCCTCCCACGGGGACGTCTGCTCGCCACCCCCAAGTGGCCACCCTCTCCCTGGTTGGTGCCGGGCCTCTGCCCCTGGAGGCTCAGAGCCCAGTTTGGGTGGAGGCAGAAACAAGGAGCAGAGGTACCACTGTGTACTGAGCGCCCCCACGGGAGGCCCCAGCGGACATGGGCCTTTGGCATGGCCTCGTGCTCAGAAGCAGGACCCAAGAAGGGCATGCGGGCGCTCCTCAGCTGACCCAGTGGGAAGACCCTTGGGGGCACCAGGTCTGCTCCGCAGGCTCCAGCCCCGCCCTCCCCCATTCAGGCTTCGGGGCTCGCTGTGCCCTGGGTTCCTCACGTGGCTCTGCTGGCACCACACCAGCTGCCACGCCATCCCCACAACAGGGTGGCCCAGCGCCCCACGTCCTGGCCCTCTGCTCTTGTCCAGGGCAACCCGACCTCCCCAAAACCCAGGCTGCAAGGATGTGCTGCTGCCACCCGGCAGCTCTCTGGGTGGACTCAGTACTGGGCAGAGGTGACAGTGAGCGGGGCCTAGAGGACTACATACGCAAGGTCAGCCAGGCCCACAGGGTGGGACGTAAGGGCCCTACTTCTAGAGCTGGACACTGGGTTCTCCTCCGGGCTCCTGGAGCCTCAGCCCAATCCATGCTCCCCTGCCCCTCCCAAGCGCCCTCTGCTGGCTGCTGTGGTCCCGCCTCTCACCCACTGTCCCTGCAGCAGTGGCCATGTGCAGGCCACAAGGGCCTGGTCCAAAGGAGGGGCTTACATAGCAGTGTGGGATGAGGGGACTCCATCCACCTCCTGCTACAGAGCTCCCCAGGGTGTGTGGAGGAGCCCAGGGAGTGGGTGTGCCTCCTGGGCACCCTCAGCCTCCCTGGGGAGCTCTAAAGGGAGGTGGGTCGCGGGCACACGGTGCGCCTGTCTCCGACCGTTTTTACACTTACAGAAGTACTCGATGCTCCTTACCAAAATTATTAGAAACTGAAAATGTCTAATTGCTGGCCAGCTTCCAGGACACGGGCCTGCGGCAGCCCAGGGCTCAGAGCACGTGCAGTCTCCCAGGGATGGACCCAGGGCCTGTGCGTGCAGGCAAGCTCTGACCCACGCTGTACCCAGCCCGTCCCACGGCTCCCACCTGACCGTGGCCTGAACATGCCCCCATGAGGAAACGTCACCAGAGGTGCCATGGAGGCCCGTGACAGTCTGCAGTAAGGGCAGGTGGCCTTCTTCACACATTCTCCCCGGGGCTGCCTTGCTCGACCGTGGTGTGGGGCTTGGGGCCCTGCTCCCGAGTCAGCATGCGGAGCCATGGTCTCAGGTGAGGACACGCTGGGGGCTCGTGAGATCTGGGGGCAACTTTCCACTCTCCACCCCACAGGGGATGAAGGGGTGGCCGCCCTGGGTCTCACCAACATGGTGGGAGAGGTGGTGTCTAGGTCAGGTTTCAACCCAGGCTCCTGGGTCACCAGCTCTCCCTGACCCCCTGTTTACTGGGAGAGAGCCATTGAGGTGGCCTGGAGACCCTGGGGACAGCAGACCCACACGCCAGGGCTCCGATGACAGCATGATTCTCTGTCAAACTGAACCTTGATCTGACATGCAGGACCACCAGGCACAGGGCCACCGGGCTTCTGCTGCAGGGTCCCATGGTCAGAGAGCAGAGCTCCAAAGCCACCAACCGGATCCAGTCTCCACTGTGCAGTGTGGGAGGCCCAGGGTGCCAGAGAGCCGACAGGCTCAGCCTCCCTGCAGGTCCCTCTGTGGAGGTCCCGTGCCAGCCAAGACCAGAGTCATGACAGCGTCCTTGTTCCCCAGAACTGGGTGGCTCTTGATGCAAGCTCGTGTCCCTGAGCTGCTGCCCAGCACCGCGGTGTTGGCACCAGTCCAGCCCCGTTGTCTGGGAGCAGCATTGACTGTGGGGGCCTCCTGCGGAGGAGCCCGGGCTCTCCGGGGGAGCACAGGACCCCTTTCAGGGCCCTGGGTACAGACACAGGGAACAATAGGCAGTGCCGGGGACGAGGCTGTCCTGTGTGACATCACCCCATGGTCGCCTCAGAAAGGGAGGTCTGTCCGACACACAGCCTCCACGGGCACGCTTCGGTGGCCGAACGCTGGAGAGCAGCTACCGCCAGCTCCGCCTCCAGCCCTCGCCTGGGCCCTCCACCCATGGCCAGCCCAGCTGGCGCCCAGCCCGTGGCCTGGACCCCACCAAGGGTAGCCTCTGATTCTGGGGCCCGAACTGCATGTCTGAGTCATTACCTTGAAGATACATCTCCTCGCCTTCCGCAAACATCTGGCCACACCTGACGCAGAGCGCGCACGAGGGGTGGTAGTGCTTCTGTCCGGCCTGCAGGAGAGCACACACAGGTTTCTGCTGCAGGACCCCTGCTGGGCCACGGCACTGGGTGGAGGAACCACCCGCCCTGCACTGAGGTCCTCAGGGATCCTGGACAAGCACCATGACCAGAGCCCCGCACAGCCTCATCCAGCAGCTCCCCAGGCCACCGGTCCTGCATGGAGGCAGGGCACCCCTGGGCTGGGCTGTGGAGGGGTCGGGCTCAAGGGAGGCTGGGCCACTGATCCTCTGCCTCTCAGGACATGGAGGGGCACAGGAGGGGCACAGGAGGGGCATGGGGGATGGATGAAGGAAGAGGGCAGGAGCGAGCAGGCAGCACGCCCCGGGGGGGGGCCGGGGTGAGAGATGATGAGCCGTGATGTTGGTGATGTTCTTCTCGAGGCTCTGATTCCTCAACTTACTCAATTAGCAATTTCTATTTTTATAATTCCTAAAATCCATTAAACCTGATTATAAATGTCAATACTGAAACAACCTGCACAGATCACCCGAGCATAATGAGATCTGCCTTATTTCTGCATGAATCACACCAAAATATCATGTTCACTGCCTTATTTCTGCATGAATCACACCAAAATATCATGTTCACATCGTGCTGACCATGTGCTGGCCTCAGGCGAGGCGGGCAAGCCAGTTGCTGAAGGCGGAGGGACGTCCCCAAGCTCCATTCTTACCTGAAACGGGAGGCAGCTGGTGCCCACCACCCAAATGTGAACCTATGATGTCTCTGTCCTGCGAGAGCGACTGAGGAGGGCACTTCCAGCCTCCCCCCTCCCTCCTGACCCGGGCCTCTCCCAGGGACCTGGAGAGGAGCCCAGGTCATCCCCCCTGTGTGGGGCCCAGTGTGGCCAACCAGCTAGGCCACTCGGGGCTTTGGGCAAAGGACCCTTCCAGGCACCATGAGGGCCCCACCCTCGTCCTGCTGGCCGTCCATCCCCAGGCCTCTGCGCACGCTGTCCTTCTTGCTCCCCCAGCTGCTGCCCGGAACGTTCTCTCCCGGTTCCCACGCCTCTTCCTGGAAAGCCGTCCCTGAAGGTGTCCCTGACTTGGTCCCTCCCACCCGGCTCACGCTGCTCGCCATCACCCTATAGACGGTGAGCCTCGACAGGGCACCTGGGCCTCTGGGATCACCAGTGGCCTGCTCTTCTGGTCAGAAGCCTGCACCACAGTGCCTGGCCAGAGGGTGATCAGGAGGTCTCAGTGGCTCACACGGTGAGTGGTCAGAGGTGCCCACTTCCCAGGCATGAATGTGAGAAGGAAACCACTCTGCATTTCAGAAGCAGAAGTTGACTGCTGTCGACTGGTGTCACCACTGATGACACGGAGCTCAGATGGAAAGCCCCTCCTTCCTGCACAGTCTGTGGCCTCTGGCCTTCCCTGCATCCACCCCATCCAGGGGCCCCCATGGCTTTTGCCACAGAACTTCTGGGACAGCTGTTCGGGGGGGGTGCGTCCCCCAGGGCAGAGGCCCGCGTGGCTGGACGCTTCTCAGCAGCAGAGGCCATGTCGCGAGAGCTGGCGAGGCCTGTGGAAGCAGGTCATGTTCTGGATTTTTGTAGCCCTGCTGTGCCCGTGAGGTGCCTCATCAGCCCCTTTCCACAGGAGACACTGCACACGGACGGGCAGGCGGGAGGTGGGATCAGAGCCACCGCCCCTGAGCACACGCACGCAAGCCGTGCCCACGGGCACTCGATCCCCAGACTGGAGGCCCTCGACCCCGGGGTGCAGGTCCAGCCTCAGAGCCACGCCGCCGATCGCCTGGGCAGACATCATGGAGGCACACACGGAAGACGACAAGACAAGGACAGACCCTGTTCTGCCACCGCCAAAGCGAGGCCAAAACTGGTGCACACTGTAAGGGTCGGATGGAACTGCTTTGGGGGAAGGGACTGGACAGGGGCCCGTGGACATCTAGGGCTTGTCATGTTCTCTGTCTGTGTCTGGCTCCTGGTGACATGGGTGTCTCCAGTTTTCAAACATGTATCAAGCTGCACCCTTCCCATTTGAGCGGGTCCTCCTCGTGTGCAAGTCACACGCCGTGTGCGTCACCACAGTGGCTCAAAGAGCTCACCGAAGAGCTCACGGGCCAGACCATTGGGCGAGCACAGGCAAGGCCACAGGAGCCCCGTCTGGCCATGGGTTCCCAGGCTTGACACCAGAAGCATGAGCAAAGAGAAACCAAATGAATTAGAATCCAACGAGATCCAAGACTCTTGTTCATTGGAGGACATTAGCGAACAGTGAAAAGACAAATTTTAGGATAAAATATTTGCAAATCATAACCTGATAAGGGCACAGTGTCCAGGATACCGTATCACTGCCACTCAACAAGAAGACAACCGAACTGAGGCAGGCACATCCCCAAACAGAGACCGAGATATCAACAGGCGCCTGGACGGGGGCCCGGCATCACTGCCATTAGGAATGCAGGTCCAACACCGGGAGGCTGCAGGAGTGACCGCAGGCAGGGACAGCTTGAGGGTGGCGAGGTGTGGGGAAAGCGCGCCGCGGCAGGGTGAGGTGGTGCAGCTAACGCGGCAGGCCCCGGTGGCCACCACACGGCCACCCGCGGCTTCATCATAGGGACCAGAAATCTACTCCCTGGCCCTGAGGGAAAGTGAAGAGGAGGAAGACGGAAGATGTGACAGATGTCTACCGCAGTGTGACTCAGGTAGCAGAAGGGTCCAGCCCTGGAACACCCGTGGGAGATGGCACAGCGGCAGGAGGGACGCAGCACTGACCCGTGCTGCAGATGGGTGGGCCGTGGGACCCCCGAGGGGGAGAAGCCTGCCACAGATGGCCACGTGAGAGGGGTTCTGACCCCGGGGGCAGAGAGCCACTGTTCCCAGAGTGTAGGTCGAGGTGAGGGCTGTCAGGTGCCCATGTCACACAGAGCAGCCAGCAGCACAGGACCAGGCAGCCAGCGCACAGACCCCGTCCCCCTCCTCTGCAGGAGGAGCCAGGGACTCCCTCTTCCTGGCCACCGGGAGGACAGGGCAGCCTCCCGAGGCTCACCAGAGCAGCCCCTCCTCCCTGCCCAGCCAAACACAGGACCTGACAAGGCCCTTCCACGCCTTGCCCACCACGCCTGCTGCTGCCCCTGCGTCCTCACAGGGGTCCTGCGGGGTCCAGGGTGGGGAGCTCCAGTGTCCGCCCACCATGCGCTGGCCTCAGGTTCAAGGCTTCAGATCCCTTTTGGAATTTCCAGAACTGAATTCAGACCTCGAAAGAGCCCATCACCACGGTGCAGAGGGAGGGTGAGACTCACGGAGAAGAAAACCAAGATTCGCACACAGGTCACTCCACCTAAGAGCATTTGATGGCAGGTGGCTCAGAAGCCCCGAGGGCTCTTTGGATGGTGCTGGGAGTTGAGCCCAGGGCTGCGTTACCCTGGCCACATCTCCAGACAAGGTCTCACCACGTTGCTTGGTTGCCAAGTTGCTGAGGATGGCCTTGAACTTCCATCTCCCTGCCT